AACACTACTGGGATGGGCCTGACCTGGAAAGGAACGTTGGTAATCCAGACTTTTCCCCTTTGTTTTCTTCTGCTTCCTGATCTCCATTGGGTGAGCTGATAACAGAGCTGAGTGACCATGGGCTGAAATCTCTGGAACTGTAAACCCTATAAACCTTTCCTCCTTTGAAGTTGATTCTTCAGGTATTTTGTCACAGTGACGGGAAATTGACTGCCATAGTGTGACAATATTTATATTAGATCACAGGAAGCTATATGCCTTAGGATATATAGTCATTTGTCACTTAGCCATGGGAATACATTCTGAGAAGGTATTGTTGAAGAGATTCATCTTTGTGTGAACTTCTACCTCTATGGATGATAGAGTCATCTAGGACCTCTGTGGTCCAGGCAGTCTGCCATCGACAGAAACATCATCCATTGTGTGGCTCATGACTGCATGCTTATGAGGATCAAAAGAGAATCGGCAGGGATCGCATCAAAGTCCTAGAGTTGAATTTTGTGGCAGGGATGTGGGATTCCTGGAAAGGCGAGGGACTCTTTCTTTTGTATAGTCTTGCACTGTATTGTTTGATGTCTTAGTTTTTAAAACTGATCAAAATACCGAAATAAAAATAAAGACAGACAGACAGAAAGAGAGAAAGGAAGGAAGGAAGGAAGAAAGAAAGAAAGAAAGAAAGAAAGAAAGAAAGAAAGGAAAGAAGGAAGGAACTAGGCAACTCTTTACAATAAAGATTATTTGGGGAAAGACTTCAAGGCGTTTATAAGATGTTGAAGGGTAAGTTGGCTGGATACTGACACCTCCTCGATGTGAAAGAAAACAGGACAACTAAGGGCCCAGAGGCCCCTATAGCTCAGACACAAGGCTCTTTCACAGAGCGGTTTCCAGTCTACCCACTCTCTCACTCGCTGGATTTCAATATGCTCCCCTCTTACGTTTAGTCACATAACTCACTTTTTACCCAATGCACCTAAATAAAGGGGAACGAAGCAAGCAAGCAGATTCCTTGAGCTGTGGATCTTTCCTGCCCTCCTTTATTGCTTTCATCTGTAAACCTTTTATACCTTCTTCCCATCCCTCAATCCAAATGGTCCACACTGAGTTAGGAATCTTTTCCACATTCTAGGAGCACTTTGCTCTAGTAACCAAGATAGTAATTTCATGCTTGTGCTCAGATTAGTTATTCAATTAGACATGGAAAATAATTATGTTTTTAATGTAATGTTCTTATTTCTTGTTACATAAATTCCCTTGAAACTACAAGATACAAGAAGAAAAATAACAGAAGCAAAAGGAATGGAAATACCAGTCATTGGGTACTTGTGGCCATGAAGTTAGATGCTTCCGTCTGGTGGAAAGATGACCCACTCACAAGGGTCTCATCATGTTGACACTATCAGCTGAGGGTTTTTGTGAGCATAGAGTAGACTACTCCCTCTCAGAAGCTGAACTGCCCCCCAGACATTCTTTGACTTCTTCTTTTTCTCCTGAGAAAGAACCCAGAGGTGGTGGTTGGTAGAGACATCAGCAGATAAGATATAAGTTCCTTGAAGGTGCTGGCAAATTCTTTAAGAGGAAATGCTTGCTTCATCAAAGCAATGTGACTAAATGAAGAGCGGCCAAGCAATTCAATGATAAGAGACAGACGTTAGGATTTTTTTCAGAGTCTTATTGATCCTAGGTAAGCACCCTCACATTGAGCTGTATCCACAAACTTGTTTTTTTTTTTTTTTTTAGACAAATTCTCACTGTATATCGAAGGCTGGCCTTGAACTCACTCTATATCGAAGGCTGGTATTGAAACCTGGATGCTCCTGCCATTATCCTTTATCTCCTGAGTGCTGGGATTACTGGACTATACCAGCCTAAGGCTGTGGTTTCTAATTTGTCAAGAAACAAGGTGAGGAGAAAGCCAGGGAAGAGCATGGTTAGACATATGGTAGTGCTCACACATTGGAGTGCCTATTGTAATGCAGCATTTTGTAATTAGCAAGCCACAAGGTGTCACTACTTAAAGCCCAGAGAGAAAAGGGGGGACGGAGAGGGAGAAGGAGAGAGGAAGAGTGGAAGGGTGGGGGAAAAAGAGATGGAGAGGGAGAGAAGGGGAGGGGGAGAAAGATTGAGAGAGGGAGAGATTGAGAGGTTGTACTGCACCTGTTACAAGATATAGTCTCTCATCTACACAGGCTTCAATTCCCTCATCTCAGCCTTGCAAGGAGCAGCAAAACCATTTTGAAAATGCATTCTGTTTTGGCTTGCAAAAAAAAAAATAACATGTAATCTCCAGACAAGGAGTTCAGGCAAATTACCCAAGGATATGAGGAAGAAAAAGTGGAACAGTGTTCTGGCAATGGTCCAAAGCTCCAGGGCACCTGTGATAACTCTAGCCACTCTTTGTAAACCACAGAGAGCCATTAAGACAGAAAGATGCAACGACTCTGCATCGGAGGAGGAAACACCTAGAATCAGCCCCAGTTGCGGCAGCTGGTGGGAGCACAGACAGGAGAATCCAGAGGCTTTGGCTGAGGACCATTCTCCTGCCTTCTAGACTGTAATAGACACCTTTAATCCCCCATGCTGAGATGGCAACTGGCCTGGTGCATGACTCTGGGGTCTTAAAAAGGCCCCCAAAGATATGCTCTACAAAGGACTTCTGTATATCCAGATTCCTCAAAACCATGCTGATGAATGTAAACAGATGCTCAACAGAAAGAGCCAGACATGCCCCCCATATACATTGGCTTAAGTATGAAGGGGAGAAAATATTTAGTTGTCAAGATATTCCTGGGGTTTTGCTGCTCCCAGAAATTCTGGAGTGTAGGGCGAGTGAGGCCTTTTTGCCAAACCCCAAACACTGCAGGGGTAAGCTTTTCCCTATAAGCAATTAGATAATTGCCATTTCATCCTGTGGATTTCTCAGTTGCTTCACTGCCTCCTTTTATTTTTTTAAGCAAACAAAATAATTATCTTTGTCTCAGGGTAATTTTCCTAATATTTCCACAATTAAATAATTACTTCAACCCCTGAATTAAAAGCTGCCCATCTGTCTCTGTGGACACAGTAGCCTGCCAGCTGCTTTAAATAACCCTTCAGAGCGGTTGGTCGGGTTAAGGGCTCCATTTGTGTCCTTAGAAATGAATGCAAGGGAGCCAGTTTCACAATACAGCAGACAATTCTATTTATAATGCCTAATTAACCCCCTCCCGTTAGTCAGAGTGCTTCCCACCTCACCCAAGCGCTTCCCAAGGGAAGAGTTGAAACATGAACGCTGATAGAATTGGCTGGGGTTTGGGCCAAGTATGAAAGAGCTGGGTAAATTAGCTTCTGATAGCTCCCTAATCATACCCAACAAGGACATGTCAAGTTGGGCAGCACTGGTGAAACCTTTCTTTAAAACCCTGAGCTGGAGAGAGGTAGAGATAAGAAGTGGGCATCGTCCATGTTTGACACTGTCTGCCAACCCCGGCTCTGAATGTCAGTCTGGGCAGGTGAGACAATGAAAAGGAAAGAGGGACCATTTCAAAGAATTGGCATCAAGAAGCCATTCCGAGGGGCTGTGTCCATGCACAGCTTTCGGTAGTTTAAGGTCACCTTCTCTTTGACACAGAAAATCCAGTGGTTGGCAAGTCAAATCCATTTGTAATCTCTGACCTCAGATATTGCAAACAGAGTGAACTTAGCCTGGACAGTTCCAAGCACCCAGAAAGCTGTCATGTCTACAGAGATGTACTGAATGCCCTTGAGAAGAAGAAGGGAAGACATGGACCCTTGGTGGGCAGTTTTGCAGGTAGAGGGAGTGGTAGAGACTTGAACACAGTTTCCTGTGGATCAGCACCATGGAGCAGGTGTAGAGAGCTCTATCACGGCCTCTCCACAAGCCCACGTGAATCAGAAAATCCATTGACTTCCTTCCCTTTGCCACACTCAGGAGTAGGCAGAATGCAATGACTCAGGCTCTTTTCTGAGCCCCTAAGAAAACTCGATTATCTATCATCCCTGGCGTGGGTAAAGTGGGGATAAACATGCTTCATGGCATAGCTGTGAGGACGAAGCGGTGATCCAGAGGCTCAGCAGTGCCTAGAACAACGCGGGTGCTGTGTACGGGGCTGGCTGGCTTCATTCCACCCTGCCGTGTCTACCTCGCTGGGCCTTTCCTGTCCTCCAGGGCTGCTGAGCTGCTGCAGGCTGTCACACCCTCACTGTTGAATGGTTCTCTCATTTTTTTTAATTCAAAATTCATGTCTGTCTCCCCCATACACATTATCAACACTTCAGGCATCTACTTGTGGCCTTGTCCCTTTCTTATCCAATAGCTCTCCACAGTTTATCACATGAAGTCTTAATTCCTTGGCTTCTGTGTCAATCCCTCTCCACTCTCTCCTGCTCCAGAGGAGCCAAGATATCACTCCCTACTTCCACTGTGTTTTTCCTCCTCTAATTGTTCCAGTACTCTTTTGCATTGACAGTTGTATTCATTGTTCTCTCCATGTAGAATTTACATTGCCCCCAATATCTCCCTCTAGCTCTCATCTGTCCTTCAAAGCCAGGTCTGAAGGCCATCTCCATCTTGGGGACTTTACCGACGATGCCATCATCTTCTTTTTTGGCCCCAGTGAATGTCACTGGGGACATAGAGGTCAGTGTCCATGCTTTCTGCCCCCCATTGATACCCAACATTTCAACTGTTTTGCTTCTCAGATCAGTTATTTTTCTTAAGCTAGTTATCACTGCCGTATGCTCTGTAGAACAGCTGTGCTGCAGACACACACAAGACATTCAATGAGGGAATGACCACCGGGTCCTGTTCAATATACCTGTGACTTAGTCACCTTCCTGAATCTTCACATTGATGTGCATGGCTATATTTTGACTTTAAAAGTAAAGGGGATTAAAACAACCCCACTAGCATGAAACCAAACCCACAAAGCATACAATCCATCCCCACACCCCAGATACCTTTCCAGGAAAGAGCAGGGAGGAAAGATGGGGGAGTGCAGTACCTTTGTACCTGGTCACTACAGCCGCATTGACACTGAGGGGCTCCTGGAAGCTGACAGTGAGGGATGTGCTGCTGGTTACCATGAGACAGGCACTGGCTGGCACCTCTGGGGCTCCTAGCACAGAAGGGAAATCATCAGTCTCTTAGCTTCTCAAATCCCTTTCAAAAATATTCCTGCCTCTTCATAGGACAGTGGCAGCACACACTTTGGAGACTGTGGTTTGCAGAGCCAGCTACCTATCCCTTGGGGACATTTTCCTTAAAAGGTTCAGTGTGTGTGTGTGTGTGTGTGTGTGTGTGTGTGTGTATGCGCATATGCGTACCCACGCATGCGTGTGCACATGTGTGTGCCCCAGAGGTGTGCCTGAGGGGAGCATGTAGTATGTCTTGTTCTATCACTCTCCACTTTATTCCCATGCAACAGGATCTCTCATTGAGCCAGGATCTAGGCTGGCCATCTGAAAGCCCAGCCCTCCTGCCTGCCCTCCACTCTGACACAGTGCTGGAGTTGTGGTGTGGCCATGACTGGATTTTTACATGAGTGCCAGGGATTCAAACTCCTATCCTTACACAACACATGTTCTTACCTGCAGAGACATCTCCACAGCGCCTGCATTTGGGACTTAACTCCCTCTCAGAGTCAGCTCGTGTGCTTGGACATTCTCTGAGGCAGAGAGAGGCTTTCAAAGGATGGAACTAACTTTTCTCTTCACATTTGGAACTTCAGCTCCGATTCTCTTAGTTGTTTAAATAAAATCTTTTAGAATGAGAGTCTGGTGCTTTGCAAACGTTTGAGTTGCACACTTTAGTTTTAAGGAAATTATCTAGGATAAAATAAAATCTTATAGGCTGAGAGTTTAATGTGTCACAAACATCTAAGCTGAGTCTGTGCTTACATCAGGGGTTTCACTCAGCAGCATCTGCATTGCCCGTAAGTATTAACCTGGACTGTCTTAACCAAGCCAAAACAACTGGTAGAGAGAATGGAAATGTGGACAAAAGCATAATTCATGGGCCAGTTGACTATCTTTCTCTGTTGTATTAAGTTCAGTTTATAGCTCTCTATAAAAAAATACAGTCGAGAGTAGAAAACACTTTAAACTTGAACTTGAAGCAGAAGCTGGACAAATAGGCAAATAAATATTTTTCCAGCTCCACGTCTCAAAATATAGCCACTTAGGCCATCAGACGGTCGGGCCATCAGACGTTAGGGCGTAGCCGGTGGGAAGTGCTAGATGAGTAGGGGACATGGCTGAGGGAGGCCAGAAGCACCCAGGGCTCAAGGCTGTGGCCGGAGAACCACTCGGGAGGCGGAAAATCAAGCAAGACAAAAGACCCTTTTACAGCCTCCCAGAGCTTTTGCCCCAAACAGGCTGACAACAGCCATCTACAACTGGAGAGTTGAAAAGAGAAATCAGTTAAAAACACAAAACAAACAAACAAACAAACAAAAAACCCTGGCTTGTCTCGTCACATGTCTCCACCCCCTGCACATACTCACTGGCATGCTCGAAGCCGGTTTTCATGCGTCTGTAGAGCCGGTACCTCCACGCCCACGCTTTCAGCTGCTTCTCCTTCTCGGTGTTGTCCAGAGTGAAGCCTTCGTCCTCCACCTGGGCAGACAGCTCGCTCACCCTGTCCTGGGCCTCCTGGACTAGTGTGTTGAGGTGCATGGCTCGGCTTTCCCGGCTGACAACTGGGAGGAAAGGAACACGATGAGAGCTCTCCTTAGGAAGTGTGCTGGCTTTAGGCTGCCTGTGTGTCTCCGGCTTTGAGAAACTGAGAATGTGGGGTCTGTGTTTCTTACCAACTATCTTACTATGATAAGGCCCAACACCAACATTTGCTATGTAGTGATAAATTCAACACATTAAGACATTTCCATCGCTCTTTGGCCATCTTGTCACATGCTTCCCAGGAAGTTTCTTCGGCATAGTTAGTCATGATTGTGCTGATGATGTTTGGAGGGACAAACACATGGGAACATACTTCCCAGTGTGTTCCTTTGGCATAGTGAGTAATGACTGTGTTGGTGACATTTGGAGGGACAAACACATGGGAGCATAGGCTCCATCAGGCCAAGAAAGCTGTGGAACAAATGACATTCTACCAAAGCTGATTTTTTTAAAAGATATTTTTGGTGGAATCTAGTTTAAATTTTCTGCCCTTATCATATTATTCTCAGCGTAGAGAAAACTTTGCATGTGTGCCTTAGGTTTCTATTTGTATTAACCAATTTGTGCAATGCTGATAGAGTGTCTCAAACTGGTGCCACAGTTGACCTGGTGAGTTCTGATGGCTGGACCCTACACTGATCTTTGATTGTGGCCTGGTTACAGGAATGCATCTTTTCCAGAAATATCCATGCCCCGGAGGGCAAGACTTACTAGAGGTTTGCCTTTGGATCTTACTGATGCATCCCAAGCCTCGCTAGGCTTACATCATACTGTTTACTCACTATGCCCTGTGTGGTCAGATGTATACTAGGGGTAGAAGCTGCCCGTTCTTGTGCTCGACTGTGAGGCTGCTTCCTGTGGTCTGCCTGGCGGGAGGGTCTGCTTAGGTGGTCACCTGTCACTTCTGAGGAGCCCCTCCCAACTGGTGGCAAGACAGGAGACAGCCTCATTCTGGAAAGGTGTCAGAAGACCACAGTAACAGGGGCATGAGCCAGAGGCAAGGTCTGCAGATGTGTTACTGGAATGTGTTTGACGACACTCCCTGCGAGAATGTGTTTGACACTCCCTGTGGCCAAAACAATATTTCTTTCTGATGAGTGGGAAGCAGAACCCATCCACTTCATTCTTTATAATTAATGGGAAATATGATGAAGATAACTCAAGTGAAAATGTGTTAGGCGTATTTTGAAATGGAAATTAGGTGGTTATATATTCAGATACTCTGTGTTCATAAGCGTGTCTGCGTTAATTACAGGAAATGAATACTAATTTATTATTGCCCCCGAGCACCATCAGTCTAAATTTATTTACAGATGAGGTCAACGAAAAATTAGTTGAGTCTTTTTTTTTTCTTTTTCTTTTCTTCTTTCTTCTTAGGGCTGCTGTTAAGAACACCCAGGACTGTGTTCTGCTGCAGGTTTGGCATGGTTAATGAATGTTGTCGTAGCAGTCAATCATGTACTCGAAATACTGTCACACTTCTTTTTTTAAAGCCTCAGTCATGAGCCATGACAGAAAAATAAACAAATAAATATAAGGCTAAAAAACTCTTTGACTGAGCAGCTACGCTGTGCAGAATCCCCTGGGGAGGCTAAAGGAGGCCAGAGTAAATGATAATATAAGTGCTGGGGGATGTAGTGAGGCCATGACGGTGTATGAATAGGGACGTACTGGAGGACACACACACACACACACACACACACACACACACACACACAGACGAGCACACACTCCAGTGGAAAAATTGGCAATATTAGTAGCCTCAAGGTGCAATTTCCTGGAGCAGTTAAGACTGACAAGGCAGTACTAAATGCTGTTAATTTAACTAACTTCAGATTAATGGTAGAGTCTGCTATGACTGAAGCCCTCAAACACAGTCTCATTATAGGCTTGCTGGGAAGGCCCTAAATATAGGCATTGACAGTTTAAAACAAATTCGTATACATTTGTGTATTTTTAGACATAGCTTAGGCGTCAGAGTTTGTGTCACAGTTTTCAGGTTGATTAATTGACCCAGTAACTGCACCCTCTCCCCACTGCCCCCTCCTTCTTCCACTCTAAATTATAGAGAAAATGGAGGAATTGTCCTCGTTACGTTATTCAGTGGGCCTTTTATTGTAAGCCTGGTGTTTGAATTGCATGCATGCGTCAACACTTGGGTGATAGACACATGGTTTATAAAAATAAATTTTTCTAATACTATGAAATCCCCCTATTAATTTTTATATCCACAACCGTTATTATGGGTGGGAATTCCAGGTGGCATTTCAGATGGACAGCTTCTCTTAAGGTCTGTGAGTGGCTCCCCTTTCCCCGCTGGCATTTTCCGTGCTTTCCCTGGCAGAAGACATTTTACCTCTGTACCCTCTACTCCTCCTAGGCTTCAGTCTTCTTTCTCACCACAGAGCAGGCTTGCCCTCTCGGGAGGCTACCAGGAGCACACCTTCAGCTTTCCCAGCCAGGTGCATGCCCCAGAGGGGCTACAGCCCAGTGCTCCGCTGCCGCAGGGCGTAGTGGTGACAGTGGTTAGGGCAGGGATTGGAGGGCGTCCCGTCCCTCGAGCCACAACACTCCAGTGTAGGTGTTTTTCTAGAACCCTGGACTCTACGCGCAGAACTGAATGAGAACATACTGTTTAGAAGCTAGAGATGTGTTTCTTAAGGAGGGGGATGGGGGCGGGAATCCCAAAACTGAAGATTTGTGTTTTTGAAAAAGAAAAAGTATTTTGAAATCTCCTCCCCCCCACCCAGATTCAGCCCCAGGTGTCCGTCCCTAAGACTGCTCACTGGCCTCTGTTGTCACAGGTAATCGCATGGACAAGTCTCAAAGGCAGCTCAGCCTGTGTTCTCCCGCCCTCTCACCAGGCAAATCTTTATATTTTTTTCCTATGGATTTTTTTAATAGCTTAGTAAAACACTCCTTTGAAAGATTTTTTTCGTGCTACCAAACCAGCTGACTTATAAAACAGTCGTGTTTCTGCCTATTATTAATGACCCATTTAACTGCCAATAGCAGCGCCTGTTCAGATGAGATAATCGACCTAACTGGGTTAATTTACTGTAGGCAAAAGCAAGTGAATATGATAATTATATTGGGTTGGGTAATTTGATCATGAGCGGAAGTGTGATAGGGTAGGTTTTGACACCTTGGAAATAGCTCTGGGGACTGTTTTGTTTGTTTGTTTGTTCGACTTGAGAATGGGAACCTTATTTTAAAGACGAAGAAGCTGAAAACCAGGGAAGCAGGATGGCTTAGTCGCGGTCTTCTTAAATACCTCCTAGAACTCAGAGCAATCTTCTCTAAACCAAATGGAATATGAATCAACTTATTATTTATACATTGCTGTTTATATTCAGCTTGTAATTGGCACAGTCGTTTTGGCTGGTTGGTTGGAGATGGGGAGGAGGCGGGTTGTGCCTGTTTTCTGACTGATTTTCTCTGCCCATCCTGGGTCTCCCTGTTCTGCTTTCACTTCTAATCACCGGCTCTTTTCTTCCTGAGTTCGGCACTGCTGACCTCTGCAAGCATTAGCTTTTTCTTTCTCCTAGCAGCCGGTTCCTTCTGCAGCCCAGCGACTGTCCCTGGGAGCAGCCATAGCCAGCACAATAGAGGGTCTGTGGGTGTGTGGCAAGCCGTCCGGCTGGGGCAAGACCACTTCACGGCCCTGAAACAGGCTCCCTGCTATTGTGGTGTTTAATTATCAACAGTATTTCTACCACCCAGTGCTTCAGAGTGGGAATTTGTTATAAGACCTGCCCAGCTAATTAACTATGGGATGGGGGTGGGAGGTGGGGCAGGAACTTTGTGTCCCAAGAATACAATTAGGGTTACTGTTTAAATCCTGAGATAAATAGTGATGGGACTGAATGGACTTTGTCTAGTGCTGGAATCTAGCTTAGAGACTGCAGATCTTTAACTATTTCATCATTTTGCTCCCACCCCCCCCCCAACAGCTGTTGAACAGGGCCTGGCTGGCAGTTACATAAAGTTTGAAAATATGAATGAGGGCGATGTGCAGGTTAATTTGAACATTTTAAAGTCTTGTTTTTAATTATGTTGTCTCTGTGTCAGTATGTAGCTGTAGGCACAGGATGCCTCGGGACTGGAGATAAAGGCAGTTGTGAGCCACCCCGATGTTGGCACTGGCAACTCGACTCCTGTCCTCTGCAGGACCAGCAATCACTCTTAACCACTGAACCGTCTCTCCAGCTCCTAATTTTAATTTTAATTAAGGTTTTGATCTTCTTGTAAAATTGAGTACATTTCCTTTAAATGGTGACTGACCCTTTTGCAATTTAACAACATCTTTTTTATTGTTGTCATTTTCCTCTTCCTTATTGATGAGATAAACAATTATCTAAGGCAATCGCTTCATCTCAGTGATAGAAGGATCTTTATCCCAGGTTGGAAGCATCCCCAGCCTTGTGCCATCTTTGCTACACAAGGTCACTGCTTGCAAAGGCAGCTTCATTCATCCCAAGCATCTCTGAATCTGAAGGAGTGTCCTTGTCCTCAGCAGAAACATACTTTATAAATGGTTGTTTGCAAGAATGGAGCTAATGCCCGAAGGTAACTTGGGATCCTAGAGATCATGTGGCATCCTTAAAAGATGTGTGGTCCTAGAGAAATCCATGTGTCCTCCTTGATGCTTAGCCTTTGTGGGTCTGTGGGTTATAGCATGATTATCTTTGACTTTACAGCAAATATCCACTTATAAGTGAATACATACCATGTCTGTCTTTCTGGGTCTGGGTTACCTCACTCAGGATGAATATTTTTTCTAGTTTTATGCATTTTCCTGCAAATATCATGATGTCATTCTTTTTGTAACAGCTGAGTAATACTCCATTCTTTAAATGTACATTTTCTTTATCCAGTCTTAGGTTTAGGGACATTTAGACAGGCTGCACATTTTAAAATAAAACACATGAACACTGGTCCTAGCATCACTATTGCTCCTCGTTCTACATTAAACTGCCATTTTTGTTTTTTTGTTTTGTTTTGTTTTTTTCAGCTGACA